CTCATCGTGTCCATTGTCAGAACAGTTAGACTGGGAGGGTGGGTAGACCTGGAAAGCCACCTTTGTCCCCTGAAACATTAGGGGACAGAGGCAACACCTCTGTCTGAGGAGCAGGAGCGCAGTCTGTTGGGAGACTAGAGGCTTGTGTTGTGAAGTGCTTCTGTTCACGGAGATGAGGCTGCACACACAACTGCACATCTTCACTGCATTTGTGTGTGAGTGTGTGTGTGTGTGTTGCTGGGGATTGAACCCAGGGCCTTGTGCATGTAAGGGAAGCACTGTACCAACTGAGCTATATCCCCAGCCCTCTTCACTGCACATTTAAAGCTGAGTCTTTTTAAACAACTATTTCTTATGCCTTGTCCACCCACCTCATACTTTCCTGATCCCAGTCTGTACATAGTCTTTATTTTCCCTTGTGATGGGGATGATAGTGTTCCTGACAGTTAACTCAGCTGGGGCCCAGTTCTTCCCTCGGATTCAGCTTTCTCTCCTCTTATCCTTCCTGAAGCTTCTGCATGTCCCCCCAAGCAATTTTCTAGAGGTCAAATTAAAGCCAAAACAAAATAAAATGCAAGGCTAAATTAGGTTAAAGGAGCAGGATAAACACTTTAAGAAACAAAACATAAAAGCAATTTTATTTTTGATGTTATAAAAATATAACGGTGAAAATCCACCGTGGAGTGTCTGTAATGTCAACAGGTGAGCCTGCAGTTTCATGGGAGTCACCTTCATCACCAGGGACTTAGTCCCTGTTGACTACTAGTACTACTATGGATCCTCTTTTGGAGTGTAGGTTTTGAGCTACATGAAGTAGTATTACTCAGCATTAAAAAGGATGTTGTACAGAAGGATAAAAATGTTTACTTTGAACTCTCATGTAAAAATGTTTACATGTTTACTTTGAACTCTCTCATGTAAAAATGTTTACATGTTTACTTTGAACTCTCCACTGAGCTTTTGAGGTGACCACGGGTAATTCACACTGGCATTGTAGGGAGCGTCATTTTGTGTTGTGTTAATCTGTGTCGTCATTGTTTTGGCAGTTCTTTGTTCCTTTCATGTAGTGTCTTAGAACTCTTCACCAAATTGTCAATCCTATGAATTTTTCCTTCGTCCTTTCTTTCTTGTAGGTTCTGCGTATTTATTCTTCCTTTTCCCTTCCTTTCCCTTCTCACTTCTTTCCTTCCCCTCTCTACCCCCCCCCTTCTCTCTCTCCCTCTCTTTCTTCTTTCTTCCAGGATCACTTTCCCACTGAGCTCCTTTTTATTTTGTGAGACAGGGTCTCACTAGTTTCTTAGGGCCTCCTTAAGTTGCTGAAGTTGGCTTTTTAAACTTGCTACCCTCCTGCCTTAGCTTCCAGAGTGGCTGGGATTATAGGCATGTGCTCCAGCACCTGGCTCTCATATTTTATCTTAAATTTTACCTTTTTAGTTTGAATCTCTGAACCATACTGTTAATTTTGTTTTACTGCATGAGGTTTTAGGTTTTTTCTCTTGCTGTTGCCTATGAATGTTCAGTTCCAGCACCATTTTTTTTCCCCTAAAGACTGGCCTACCTATATTTAATTGTGTTGCAGTAATTCACTTGCAGGTCAGCATGGGAAAAGAAAGAAAAAGAAGAAGCAGAGCAAGCGAAGCAGCAGCAGAAAAAAAAAGTCCTTTATTGTGTACAAGCGATCTTTTTATAGTATTGTGAACAAAGAAGGCAGCCTTACAATATCAATAAATCAGGTCTTTCAGTTAATTAAACATAGCATATAGAAGTTTTACTTTCTAATCAGAAGTGACCCACTTCTCAAGGCTAATCTAGTCTCGGCCCGGAGTATGTTGAGCTCTGCTCTTTGTTAAGAACAGATAATAAAATTTTTCTTAGTGCCCTCCTAGCCCACTTGGCAGAACATCCCGTTTGCAGGCAAGTCCTCCCAAGGACAGCAGACACCTCGTTTTCAAGCATGTCCACTGTTACCTTATCTAAACCTTGAAGGAGCCTCTCGTTTGCAAGTAGGCCCTCCCAAGGACAGCAGACACCTCGTTTTCAAGCATGTCCGATGTTACTTATCTATACCTTGACAGAATAGCCCGTTTGCAGGCAGACTCCATCAAGGACAGTAATAATAATGCAGTTACATCTGATTCTCTACATAATTGCTTTTATGGCTTAGTCAAATATCATTAGGTTTCTTCATGTTGGTCTCTTTCTGCATTCTCTATTTTATTTATCCAATTGTCCATGTTATTGGCAGAGGCCAAAACTTCTCTCACCAAACTATCTTGTTTTACTATGTTGGGTCTTACAGTCCATAAATATGATGTCTCTTGTTTAGATCTCCTTCATTTATCTCATGTTTTGCAATTGTGGACATATTTTTTTATAGACTTTTTGTAGGTATATCTTATGGAACCATGTTTTTGTGATATTTAGGGTTTTATTTATTTATTTGTTTAGTTAGTTATGGGGTGTGCTGGGGATTAAATCCAAGGGTATTTTGCCACTAAGCTATATCCTCAGTCATTTTGAGACAAGGTCTCACTAATTTGCTGAAGCTGGCCTTGGAAGATCCTCTTGCCTCAGCTTTCTGGGTCACTGGGATTATAGGTATGTGCCACCATGCCCAGCTGTTTTTGTTTTGCTCGCTCTTTGTTGTCCAGTCTGGCCTTGAACTCCTGAGCTCAAGTAGTCCTTCCTCAGCCTATAATCCTGGTAGGTGCTGACCATACCAGACTTGAAATTGAGGTTTTAATTTGATGTTGCACATGATCTTTGCCTTTGGAGGGAAATATAATTTTTACATATTGACCCTGTAACTTATGACTTTGGTGATCTCACCTATTAGGTCTAGCTGTATGTTTCAATAGATTCCTCAGGATTTTCTTAATAAAATATGTTATTAACAAATACAGAACCAATTTCTTGATCTATATCCTATATATCCCTTCACTTTCTTTTCCTCTCTTCTTTACTACCTAGATCTATACGTGTTGAATAAAATGGTTTAAAAAAAATAATAAGAATTGAGGCCTGCACGGGCCCCAACTTGTCTCTATGGTTTGGAAATGCTATCTGCTTTGTATAACAAAATGGCGGTTTTGTTTTCTGGAAACAGTCATGTTCTCTGAAAAGTCCTCTTACATGTTATCTTTGGCATTTGCCAGTGATAGTAGGGCTGGGTTGGAGGCCTTGTGAGTCTAGGGTTTTGTTGAGGTCTGGAGTGATGATAGTGATCGTTATCAAAAAAATCCAGAGTGGGGCATAGATACCTCCAGAGCCTGGGATCATGGCAAGCACAGAAGTGTGTTCCTTAGAAAACCGGTATAGTTCTAAAAAATATCTTGTGATGTATCATACACAAAATATATACGGTGAAATTTTCAATAAGGTCATTACTAGGCGGACCTCATACATTGGGATAAAGGACAGAATGTTGTTCATGTATGCGGTATGAACTGAGGAAAAGCAAGTTTGTGTCTGGAAAGCTACTGGAAATGTTCTATCTTTTGCTCTGCCTGAGATTTCATGGGAAACATGTAGGGAGCCTTCGGTCTGTGTACTGAATGTGTCTATTAATCTCATTGATATATGTATAAAAAGAAAAATAATTTTACTTGTGGACTCACACCTTTTCATTAAAAAATGGAAAAAGCTTAGCATGCCCTGCATAAGCTCATTGGATTGGAAATTCTGCCCAACACTGGAGAGGATAGTGTTCTCCAGAATTCACTGATTTTGTTGCTTTTCTTCATGGTTTGTTAACTTAAATGTGTACAACTAATAGTAGCTATGGTGTTTTGTCTGCTTTGAAACTTACATGAATAGTGCTATAGAGATACTTTTTTGTATTTCCAGGAAAAAGTACTGTATTCATATATTTTTAAATGAATGCACACATTTCTAATTATCAGAGTTTTTTTTTTAACAATAGGTAAATGAAATGGTAATTCTTTAGACTTCCTTTTTTAAAATATTTTATTTACATTTTAGTTTTTGGCAGACACAACATCTTTGTTTGTATGTGGTGCTGAGGATCGAACTCAGGCCACACACATGCCAGGGGAGCACGCTACCGCTTGAGCCACATCCCCAGCCCCTCCTTTAGACTTCCTTAATGGTACCTCATGAAAATGATGCAGATGACATTATTTAGGGTTTGTCATATGCAACCCTTCAAATTGAATCTCATCATAATTTTAAAACAAAACAAATCATATGTATATATATATACATACATACATATATATATATATTGGCTCAGTGATAGCACACCCCTGGGTTCAATCCTCAGTATTGGAAAAAACAACAAACAATAACACAAAAAACAACTAGTACACTTGTGCCTTTATGTAAAACTTTACTCAGTATCTATGTGGCTAGTTTCCAAATCAGGGAGTAATTTTATTTAATATTTGCCAATAATACTTGCCAAGATGTATCCCTGACACAATTCCTCAGAATATATGTGCAAATGTGTTAATGCTAATGAGAACAATAATAGTTTTTTATTTATTGGTCAGTGTGTAAAGAGTAATTTTTAATGTAAATTTTATGGGTAATTTAGTAGTATTTCTAATTTCCAGTAATGAGAGAGTTTGTTAGGGCTGAGTGCTCAATTCCATCCCCCAAATTTATTTCCTTTTCCCTTCCCCTCTCCCTCCATTCCACCTCTTCTCCTCCTTTCTTTTTCATGGAGACTGAACTCAGGAGTACTCTACCATAGAGCTACTGTCCCAACCACCCCCTTTAAAAATAAATTGAGATAGGGTTTTACTAAATTATCCAAGTTGGCCTTAACTTTGGACCATGCTCCTTCAACCTCCTGAGAAGATGGAATTACAGGTGTGTACCATCATGCCCAGTTTACTCTGTGCCCCCTCCTCATGCCACAGGAGAAGAGGTGCCTCAGAAGAAGGGTCTAAGGAGTTCCAGGAGAGAAGGGGTAACTTAACTAAGTACCAGTGGGACCCTTGGCTTAGGTGATAATAAAGAATTTTAGCATTCACCACTGGGAGGCATAGAGGTTTATTTAGGAAAGTAGATTCACATTCATGGCTGTCTCAAATGAAAGATGGATTTTTGTAGTTCCTGGCTCTTTTAAAGGTAACTTGTTGAGGGCATGTGTATGTGGGAATGATATCCATCTAATTATTTCAAGATTATCCTTAGGCTGATGTGGTCTTTTATTCCCAGAAGCTGAGTATTGAGATTAAGGTCGAGGCTGATAAGATTCTAGCACAAAGCTTCCTCATGAAGGACATTACCATAGCAGCTAAGCATTGAACATGAATTAGTCATCTTACTAGTTCCATGGAGAAACTGTAGAATATTCCAGCTGTGGAAAACAGAGCACCTTGTTACCCTCTGGGAGTTTGCTCACCAGAGGAATGCTGCCTTGAACATTTTTAAAAATTAGTTTATTTTGCATTACAATTCTTATTACACATATAGGGCACAATTTTTCATATCTCTGAAAATAAAGTAGTCCCTTGTGCATTTCCATAGCCAGAATCCCCACATTGGAAATTCTTACACTCTAAATTATAAGTTTTTCAATATATCTTTCAATCTATTCATTTGGGAGTTAGTATAGTACATAGATAGATTTTAGATTTTCCATAAAGTTGGTAGTAACAGACCTGGAAAAGAGACTAGCTTAGGGAATGACAGGCCTGGAAATGTATGCAGAACTTAAATGTTTTGTTTCCTTGGCCTTCATTTATTTTCCCCTTCTACCTATTTTTTATTCCTTCTGCTCTGCAATAGGTAGAAGCTGAAGTGTGAGCCTTTCTCCCTTGCTTCTCCTATTGGCCACGAATAAGTGTCCTTCACTGATCAATCAGTGCTCCATCTTATTATTGGTTCTACAGTTTCAAGCAGGAAGAAGAACCCAGTTTGGTGTAAAAATTAATGACACATCTACTGGAGTTCTTGGAACCTATCCCCACTGTACAAGGGGAGACTTTTGTACTTACTATCAAATGCATTCCTGTTATCATTATTATTCTCCTTTCAATTATCACTGATTGTTGGCCTAAAACATCACAGTCCAGTTCAGCAAATTCCCATGATGGTGGCCTAATGAGGAAAGCTAATAATCCTTAAGGTTCTTTAGGTAACCACCTTTGGCAAATTAAGGAAAGGCTGTGGAAACCAGTTTTGGCATATTAAAGAAAGGCTGTGGACTTATTGATAATATCATTGAAAGAAGGAAAATTCCAAGGAACTGGCCTTCTAGGAAGACAGAATTTCAGGTCAGTCCTGGACTTCAGGGTGGAGGAAACTAATCAGCACTAGAGTAGTGAAGATTAATTGTATTTTGTGGGTTGAAGTGAGCAGGAAGACCATGTTTCACAAAAGCATCCAGTTGCTACATTTGAGAACAGAGGACATAAAAAGAAGCTGAAAACCGAAGATACTAGAAGAGTCTCTGGTAAAATTCCTCTGGGAGGAAATTTCAGAGAAACAAAGGGATCTGGTTGGAAAATGAAGGAGGCAGAGAATGCAGGAGAAAATCATGGAGGCACTGGCAAACAGTTTGACTTCATTCTGGCTATGACAGAAAAAAATGGTGAATTTAAGTAAACGACTGATAAGACTGGGTTTACTTGTTCAGCTTTTCCCGACCAAAGACAGGACAACTGCTTGCAGTGGACTAGTGAAGAGGATGGAGTAGGAGCTGGAACTCACGGCCCCATACCCAGAGTTTTTGAGTTAGTAGTGGGTTCAGAAAGCCTGTATTTTTGTCCACTTCCCAAGTCTTGCGTACTACAGTTTCTTTCTTTTTTTGATTCATATATTTTGAGATAGGAGCCTCGCTAAATTGTCCAGGCTGTCCTCCAACTCTTGGGCTCTAGCGATTCTCCCATCTCAGCATCCCAAGTAACTGGTACTAAAGGCCCTCGCCACCTTCTGGAACCACAACTTTGTAAACACCAAATTAAAGTAATGTGTACCAGTGCTATTCCCAAGGTAAAGCTCTTTCTGTTTTCACGATAACTCTCGGTCCTCACTTCTCGGAATTGCGAAGCAGCTTGCCCAGGGCAAAACAGGCAGGAAGGCCAGGGAAGGGGTCTTCTGTGCCCCTCGATAGCCACGGAAATTTTACAGTTCTTTTAGGAAGCAAAACTCGACCTCTATCGGAGCTCTGGAACGTAATTTCCTCTTCAGGTCTCTCCCAGCAGTGCCGCTTGGCCGTTGCCATGGAGAACGCAACAGACGCAGCGTGTGGGCGCCCAAGCCCGTTCCCCTGTGCTTCCGCCAGCGCACAGCCCAGGGAGACACCGGAAAGGAGCATTTCCCGAAGGGCGGGGCTTCCGGCTCCGCAGAAGGAGACTCTGCCTTGTAGACTGGAATGTGTGACAGGCACAGCTTTCCTGGAACAGAGCAAGAAAACAGCGGGCATGGAGTGAGGGAGCCCGCCTCGGTGTCGTTTGGAAGACTCCATCTCGCTCAACGGCTCCTGAGTGAGACTTGAGGCCCGAGATCGTCCTTCTCAAGGGCTTTACTTAAGAGATTCTACACCTCGGCGCCCTGCGCCTGTCGAGCAGTTCTAGAGTTACAGATACAGAGGAGAGACTCGGGTCTTCTAGATTTCTCCTAGAGGGAATTCATCGTGTTTATTCAGTGTGCTCATGGGTGGTGGGAATATGTGAAGTCATCTTGCTGATGTCATTTCACTTAAGAACGCTTAAAGGTTTGATTTTAAAAACTAAACCAAAGAAATGAAATTTTAAAAACTAAGCGTTTTTCATGTCATTTAAAATGTCTATATGACTCTCATATTTCTTTATTTTGATATATTTGTTCATTTATTATTTTCTCTAAAGCATGATGGTGATCATGTAGTAGTGCCATCTTCACATGTGACTCCTAATCATTTCTTCTGATGTGTTTTTCTTTTTAAAAAATTTCCTTTTGTTCTTAAATTTCTTGAGACCTTCTCCAAGTCAACATTTTCCCAGGGTTTTATTTTGGCTAAAACAAACACTGCAAAACACCTGTTAAAATTGAATTTATGATAAATCTTGCAAAACACACATGGAGAAGGGATTTCATTGTTTAGTTTCCTGAGATTGTTTTGTGTTGCTATAAAGAAATGTGATTGGCACCAGAGGCATCAAAATGTGCAAAGGTATGGGTGTGTGAGCCATCTTGGGGCTTTTGAAAAACTTATGGGGAGATCAGGGGCTCAGTACTGTGTTGTTGTTCTAGCTGAGGGGCTGGTTTGAGAGGCTTCCCAGAGGAAGTGGATACTGAGTTGGGACTAGCTAAGAATACATAAATCCCAGTGGACTCGTTCCAGGAATGCCAAAGGGCTGGCATATCCTGAGGGGCGATCAGACAACCCTGAGGTCAGTGGTGACTGGACTGTGGTAAAAGAAAATACCTGGGTCTGGTGCGCGTGCATTAATCAATAGCAGGCATTCTGTAGATGTCATTAATAGAGCTACTCATTAGCCCTGCACTGAATATTTGTCCATGTTAGTAAAATTACACATATGTTAAAAGGTGAAAATAGGCCAGGCCTGGTGGTGCACCCTGTAATCCCAGCTAACTAGCTTGAGTGAGGCAGGGAAGTTGCAAATTCAAAGCAAGCCTGAGGATCTTCGTGAGAGAAGAGTTAAAACGTAGAGTTAAAATTAGAGCTAAACGAAAACTCTAGTTCTCAAATATGAGGTTGGACTCCAACCCCAAGGGAAAATATAGATTGGGTCCCAGGAGTTTCATTTTTATGTCTGGCAATGCAGATGTTACGAAAACTGGGACCCCAATTTAGGAATCAAAGAAATAGGAGGGCATTTAATGTTGGTACCCAGAGTCCCCACGAGGGAGGTGTATTCGTTTATGACAATTTAAGTCCAGTCTCTAAAAGCTGAGAGTTGAGGCTGCACTACCCGGGCCTCAGAAGCAGGAAAGATTGTAGATTGAATCACCTGCTGGAGACTTCTGAGGCCTGGCATCGTCCCATGTGACGATGGAAACCCGAGTACCCCCAAGTAAAAGGAGCTCGTGTCTCCCAGATACTGTTTCCACCTTCTTTCTCCCCTACCTGCTCCTAAGCGGTGCTCACCCAAGGATGCCCAGGGTCGAACTGCATTACCCAGAAGTCTGCGCGGAGAGTACGCGGCTGCGTCGGGCCAACAACCACGGGGGAGGGCGTTTCCTGCCACCGCGGCTTGGAGGCGGGACTTCCGGCGTCGCTCTGTGACGCGTCTGCCGCGCGCGTTGGGGTTCACCGGCCGGGCGGGCTTGTTGCGGGCCGCGTCTCTTTCCAGCTTCGCGGCGGGCGCACGGCGGTGGGTGATGGTGCTCGCCGTCGCCCTGCGAGGACCCGGGATCCGGTCTCCATCTGTCCAGGAAGGCTGAGGCGCGGCGGAGGCTGGGGTCTAGCGGGATCCGCCGTGTTCGCCCGCGTGTCGCTGCCCGGTCCCTCCTCCCGTGGCGGCGTCCGGGCTGATGGACGCGGCGCAGGTGAATAGAGCGTCCCTCGGGCCCTCGCTGACCCGGGAATCGGTGGTGTGTGCCGGACGCTTTGCCCCGAATGTAGCGTCGACCTGGTAGTGCGACGAGATGCAGGGTTCCCACGGCCCGGGAGCCGCGGGTGGAGACGCGGGGCGTGAGGACGAGTTGGAAGGTTCCAGGCGCAGGTCCCTGGTGCGGAGCCAGCAGGGCCTCCGTGTCTGGCCCTGAGTGGCAGCTCGAGGAGCCCCGCTGCTCACCCGAGGGGCGGGAGCCGCGAAGCGGTCCGTGTGGAGACGACAGTGCTCCGGGCCGGCTCCGCAGGCTTCCTCTGGCGCAGAGTGAGGAGTGCGGATGTTGGCGGGAAGACCGACGGAGCCTGGGGCCGCGGTGTCGTGCGCGTTGACGGTGTGGCCGGTGCGCTGGCGAGATGTGTCTGTGTTCATGTAGACTCATGAGGTTTTCTGAGGGGGCCTTGATATCTAGGACTCTTCAGCCGCCCTGTCTACAGTGAAGTCTAAGCGCCCTGCATGGGTGTCATTTCTAGCCGGAGGTCCTGAATCCAGACCAGGTGTTTATGGAGAAGATCCCACTACTGGTAGTCAGTGGGAAGACACATGGAAGTGGCCTGTGCAAACGCTTGGACAGAAGATTGAATTGGGAATGCTGAAGGAACCACTACTCTAGTATATCTATTAGGAACAGAGAGCATGGGTAGGGGTCAGAGGAATATTAGGTTGCAAAACTGGGCCTCTCTTGTGAGTGTGAGGGCCATGGGAGATTTAGAGCAGATTAGATGATGAAACTCAGATTTAAACAGTTCCTTCTGCCTTTCAGATTGAGAACTGACTGGGCATGAGGGAGGAGTCTACTATAATATTATTGATGACATCTGACAGAGTTGTGGATGAAGAGGTGAAAGAAGTTGGTGAACTTTTTATCTGTGTTTGAAGTATTGCAGCAGTTTTTTTTTTTTTTTTTGATGTGAAGGGTGAAGTAGAGAATGTTAACTGTCATGGGTGATCCAAGGTTTCTTTTGTTGTGCTTTATTTGGTAGAGTGATGAATGTGCTGTCATCTGAGATGGAAAAGTTCTTGCAGTAATTTTTGTGTTTATATCAGACATTCTACCATGTTTAAGGAGTCCTAGAGACTCCCTGGTGGAATTACCAAGCTGGATATCCAGGTTTTTATTTCTGGGGAGGGTTTCTGTTGAAGAAATTTCAAAGGCAACAGCCAATATGTGGAGCTATGGGAATATCTTCAAGTCATGGTAGCAGTGCAGTTAGCAAATAAGAAAGATGAAAGTGAGGATGGAGAGGTGAGTCTGTTGCTTAGGTGCCTTGGTGGCAGTGGTACATTTTTATGTTGGCTTGGGAGGAATGCCATGGAGATGGTATGGGTCAGGAGTTGCGGGGCTGGGTGTCCCAGATGTGAGCCAGGTTGATCCTAAGACTGATGTACGTATTGGAAGGAATGTGAATTGACAGTCTTCCAGCTCTAGTATTGGTGGCTCTGGGAGAAGGTTGAACAGAGGTTACGTTGTGTCTGGCACCCATGGTATGGATAAAGCAGTACTGGTTGTCAGTTGAGTGGCGCGCTTCATGCCAGGCCCATAGTTAGGCAGCATCTTCACACTTGCCTGGTTATGCTCAGGTTTGGACGTAATGGTGAAAAAGACACGAGGAGCAGGCACTAAGGGATTCAAGGGAGACTGGCCAGGAGAGGGACCAAGTGCTGTATGTTATGTGAGTGGATAAACTGGGGGACTCTGGGGAGAGATGCTGCCTGAGGGCTCAACTCTCCTCATCATGCTAGGGTTGTGTGACCTTCGAGGATGTATTTGTATACTTCTCCTGGGAGGAGTGGGAACTCCTTGAAGAGGCTCAGAAATTCCTGTATCGTGATGTGATGTTGGAGAATTTTGCACTGGTGGCCACACTTGGTAAGTTCCTATTTTAGTTATGTATTGTTACATGGCAAATCACTCCAAAATTTAGAGGCTTATCACAATGAGAACTACTATGTCTTAGTTTAGTGCCTCAGATATCTTGGTCACAGTTTATGTGGGTGTTTTTGGCTCAGAGTCTCTGTGTGAGATTTCAGTGAAGTTGTCAGCCAGAGCTGAGTGTCATCTAAAGGCCTTCCTTGGGAAGATTCTACTTACAAGCTTGCCCCTCATCTTCTTTTTTTGGTGGGGAAGCAGTACTGAGGATTGAACCCAGGGCCTTATGCATGCAAAGCAGGCACTGTACCGCTGAACTATATCCCTAGCCCAAGATTGTCCCTTCTTGAACTGAGAGCATGAGTTTCTTGCTGTCTGTTGGCCTAAGACCTCTTAGTGTACCTCATATCATGGAAGCTGACTTCTCTGAGAGCAAGTGAGCAAGAGAAAGCACCTGGGATGGAAATCCAGTATTGTAACTTCATCTTAAAAGTGACATTCTGTTTCTTCTTCTTCTATATTCTCTTTATAAATCAGTCAGTGCAGCTTATAATGAAGGGAAGAGGCTTACGTGAGGGTCAAATTACCAATAAGTAGTAGGAATCACTTTCAGCCATCTTTGAGGATTTCCATAGAACATTATGCTTATCCCATTGTCCTCGAATTGATTCTCTCCCAGAGATAGCACTTGTATGCTGTCATATCAGTGAATTTTCCACACATCCCCCCCACCACTTTTTTTTTTTTTCCATTACTGGCTATCAAACTCAGGGCCTTGTGGTTGTTCTAAGGAAGTGATCTACCAGTGAGCTACACCCCTATCCCACTCTCGCTTCCTGGGTTACCAGAGTGGATGGTATTTCTTGAGCAGTCTCCACACCACTTTACATTGTCTATAAGACTATGGGGATTCAGGGTTCCTTTAGTCTTCAAAGGATTTGACACACCTTGAACACTTACTGTCCCTGTTGCCCTCTGCTCTGCCACCTGTATTTCACAGGTTCTGCATCATCCTCTAGCTGACCTTTTCTGAGATGTGGCTATGTGTAGGGATTTAGCTTCACCTGGCTACAGCCCTCTTGAGTCTTCACCACAATAACTTCACCACATAGTGTTTGTCCTGATGTGTTTGTCCACATCGTTTCCTTTCTCAGCACACTACAAATAGCCATTAGAGTGGTACATAGCCTTATGACCTGACCCTGGCATTGGCAGCACCAGGAATTGAACTGCTGTCTTTAATACCAGCTGGAGATAAATTAGGATACATTTATCTTAAATGAAGTAATTTTTGTCCTGATTTCTATATAAGCCCCCTTCCTCTATAAGTTGCAGATATCCTCTTGACTTGCTACTGTCTGCTACACTGCTGTAATTAAGTCCCCAATAAATTGAACTCTGTCCATTTCTGGATTCATTTACCTTTTTTTTTTTTGCGGGGACGGGGGAAGTGGGGAGTTTAATAGCACTTTGCAGATTTTTCTCATATGCTGGGATTGGATTTTTCCAGAGTTGTTTGTATGCCATCCTGGAGACCAAGAAAATATGAAAGAGAAAAACTCTTAGTGGGAATCTCAGATTGGCCATCTGTCCCTGTGTGGGAGGGGTGACCCATTGTTAGATGTTTGTGGGCCACTGTTTGTACACAGGGACAACCCAGAAATGCTTCTGGGTGTGGTACAGGTATTTGTTGAATGCTATTTATCCCACTGCAGTAAGGGAAGACTGTATTTCTGCCACAGCATATTGGCCATTGCTGTGGGCTTTTCAGTTGGCCACTGATGTCCAGCTGGCTGTGAAAGGGAAAGCAAAGAAATTGCAAGATTTACAGCTTGAAAGAGATATGTATCCACCCCTCTCTTAGCCTATTATTTGGCTGAAAAAGTGGAAGACCACATTATTAATCTAAAAACCATAGCCTGGTGATTTCTGCAGCTTGTGGAAAATTACTGAAAGGAAACTCATGTGTGAGCTGTTGTCTCATGACCAGAATGGGATGCAAGAAATTGGAATCCCTGAGAGGAAGAAAGTGAGGAAGGACCTAAGTGATAGGGGATGTGGATCCCCTTACTGTCTATGAGTCCTGCTTTTCTTCTCAGCTATTAATGCAATGAAAAGTAGAGGATAGCATATTCAAGTTGCAGGAACTCTGGCTACTTGGGAATAAACTGATAGCAGTATTGCCAGATATTGCAAAACTTTTAAACAATTACCCTATGACTGTCTACTCTTATCTACTCTAATAAAGCTCAAATTAACGTCTGCTCTTATCCTGTCCCTTGTGTAGGTGATATACAAGACTGATATATGTTACTTTCTATAGGTGATACATGCAACATGCAGAAGAGAGAGGCATGTGAGATTGTAAGATTCAGTTCAGATGAGTTGAAAGGGATTCAGCTTGACTTGACGGAAGCTATCTTGAATTATAACTACCATGATCACATGAGTAACTGTAATCTAATTTTCCCCTGTGGTTTTCTACCATGCTATAACAAAACCATTAGAATGGTATGTGGAGCTCTATGACTGGAACCTGGTGCTGTTACAGCAGAAATGTGACTGATGTCTTTGATAATAGCTTGAGATAAACCAGGTACATTTCAGGTGGATGGAGTCACTTCTGCCCTGACAGGTGTATTAGCTGTCTGCCTCTGAGCCATATCCTGGTCTGAACTGACACTCTTGACCATGCTTCTGTCACCAGTAAGTTGCACTCATCATTAAAGATCCTCTAATCTGCCTGCCACTTCAGAGTTATAGCACCTTGTGGCAGGTGCTATAACTGGGACCATTTTTT